AGAAATATGGAGGAAGTCAAAGACCAAGACAATGCAAAACATGAACAAAGAAAAAGAAGAACTCATTTGTTTAATGGACAAAGAACCAAAGCACACCCAAACCAGTCGTGAAATGCATATAAGAAGAGGCATAGAGAACCGACTGAGGACAGGCCACAACCCCTTCCGTCCAGAGACAAGAGACCACTATGTCGCAGGGGAGTTTACCGGCCTGGTCGAAGACCAACAGCATGAGGGAGCCTTCGTGAGTGGGCATGTCAACCCATTTTTTGACCCAAATCACTCACTGCTAGAAGAAGATGAAGCGGGAAGAGCAACAACCTCTCTCTTTCCACTAAGAGAGGCTGCGGGTCGCCAGCAAGTGTATCAGCCATTTGCATTGAAAGACATTGAAGGACTAATGCTGAAATTGCCAAAGCTGACAAAAGGAGCACCTGCATTTATGAGGGCACTGACGACGCACACAGCTGGTGAAATATTGTGCTGGGGAGACGTCTCTTCTATAATCACCAGAAATACTGATGAAGCCACTACCAAGAAAGTACGGGCGGAGCTAACAAAACGCATTGGACCATTCAACCATACCCTGTCCTTTACCACCATGAAAGGACCACTGCTGTCAATTCTGAGAGAAATGTTTCAAACATGCGTTCCAGAAGAATTACTTTCGCTGAAGATGAAAGAAGATGAAGAGTACTTTGAGTACAAGCGCAGAGCCAAGGCCTTATTCTATGATGCAACTGGGGAAGCAGTGCAACCAGGAACAACAAGTACATTCATCCTGTTCAACACAATGGTCAAAGGAATGCCAAAACCAGTACAACAAAGTCTTTCTCATGTTGTTGGACTGTACACACTGACCGAAGAAGACTTTGATAAAAACTGCAACCACTATGTGACCCTCTATCGAAATGAAAGAGAGAATAATAAAGAAGAAACACAAAAAGTGGAGGTGTCTAACATCAAGCTACAAAACAAGAAACTTAAAGAAGAGGTGGAAGCACAAAAGAGTAAAAACAAGGCCGCAAATGTGATGAAAGTTGGAGTGGACGGATCACAGGTCAATGTTGAGGACAATGACCAGAATCAAAAAGGAAAAGAGCAAGCTGAACAGATGGTGGACGTCGTAAAGCTCCTTTTGACACAGAGACCAGCTCAGAGAGGATACAGGGGGAACTCCAGAGGAAGGAGTAGAGGGAGAGGATTTCAAGGACAAAGAGGCAATCGTCAAGATCAATGCTGGATATGCCACCAATATGGACACTGGTCAAGGGATTGTGCCAACATAGGGCGATATGGCCCACCACGGAACCAATTTTTTGGGCAGCGACAAAACCAATCGCGATTTCCCGGATCCTACAACGGACAGCAGCAGATGTGGACGCCCAATGACATGCCACAGCCCCCACCCCCGCAAGAACAAAACATGAGTATGCGTGGAAACTCGTACACGCAGTACCAGGATGGCCTGGAGGCTCTTATTGACGGGGCCAACAGCAAGAGAGCCACTCACTCCACAACTGGCGGAGTGAGCCAATGGTGGTCCTCGAGGTGAATGGACGAGAGATCAAGTTCATGGTCGACTCTGGTGCAACTGTGTCATGCATCACACACAAGTTTCCACTGTCCTCTGAATCAATGTCCATCTCTGGCTGGTGGGGAAACCTGAAAGCAAACCATTTACTGTTCCATTGGAAGTAAAATCACACCATGAAACTGTTCATCACTCTTTTTTGTATCTACCAAACTGTGGCATCTCTCTGTGTGGCCGTGAACTGATGTGCAAGTTGTCCTTCTCCCTATTCTTCTGCCCTGAAGGATACAAACTCATGAACAAGCCTGAAACATTGCAACTAATACGGTCTTGGGAGAAAAACAAGCATGCACAGATATTGTATCTCTCACCAGATGTCGCAGAAGATCTGAAGACACCTATCGATATCTACTGGCTTCAAGTACTGACGGATCCAGAGCATGGTAATACAGCCTCAACACTCTGGCAACGATACAAGCTATGGGCAAAATCCAATTTCCCCTTGAGAGAACCGTTTGACCCACTGCATGCCACGCTGTACTGTACCACATTAAGAAGATGAGAGTTATGAAGAATTGTGGGACAATGTGCAAGGGCAAACATTCCATGTAACATACCCATACATCTACTGTGGTCCCAAAGGCATGGCCCTGTCTGTGACTCTTCCAGATGAAGTGAAGCCCTATTATGTCGAAACAACCGACATGGACCCACATGTGACGTTGGCCGTTTCCAAGTACCATACTGCAAAGTCCCTTGGATCAATGGTGAAGTTGGCAAACACTTTGATATATGCACCAACCGACAACCCTGGAGTGTCCTACAATGGACAACATGGCATTTTCAGGATCACACTGCCAGACGGGTCAACGGACATAACCAGAGCTTTGAAGGAATCGCGTCACAGAACTTTTGAAAATCACCCAGACGCTCAACGATACTTGGATGCAGTCCCAGCTAACATATGGATGACACATGCCAATGATGTGGGATGCACATCGCATGTTGTGAAAGTCAAACTGACAACTGAC